AATTCTAATTTAAAAAAAAAATTAATAGATATTATTAATTAACTTTAAGAATTATGAGGGGTCGGATACTTATGACCGCTACTGTATCTCCACTTCAGACTCGGATGAACTAGATTCAGATGATTTGATCATAGCATTATATAGATAACAGATTTCTCGGCCAATTCTTTTAAGATTTTGATGTATTTTAGTTACATCATGTTCTAACGCTATAATGTTCTCTTTGATCTCTTGAATAGCATCTACCTTTTCTTTTTTTAAATAATATGTACGATACTTTTTAGAAGGCATTTTTCATATTTAAAAAAAAAATAAACTGAATATTTATTGTATCAGAAAAATCTTATAATTATGTAAGTACTGTAATTTGCCTCCTCCAATTGCATATATGCACTATATCACTAATCTGGATCACTGGCATGAACTAGACTCTGTGATTTTGGTTGCAAAGAAGACAAGTTAGGCATATGTTCCCTTTGATATGTCTAAATTATTATAAATTTGATTTACTGTCCATTGTAATATGTCTTCTGGTCAATTCCATTCAAATTTCATTTCTATAAAGCATAATGCGCATCTGTCTTCTTGAATACATTTTAATGTGAGGATATAGTCAACTGTTAGATCAAATTCACAGCCTTTTTCCTTGTCTTGACCCATATATCTGATAAGTTTTTCCTGAATAGACAGTCTCAATTTGTGCTTTAGCCATCTTTTCTTTTTTGCCTCCTCAATCTTTTGGGTAATTTTAGAAGGTAATAGAGGCGTTTTGATCCAAATGAGTTGGCTTAAATATTCCACATGACCAACTGCTAAATATATTAGGTTATCATAGGCTAGGTTTTTATCAATGACCCAAATACATTGTGGAGCCTTAAGGGTCATTCCTTGACTAGTATGAATAGTCATAGTATATCCAAGTTCCCAATCTATGTTTTTTTTATCCGCCAATATATCTTTTAAGAATTTATCAGGGAATGTATTTAAGGGTAAGTTCACTATATCATTTTTCACTAACTCTTTCTTTTTGGATGAGCCAGAGATTAGAACGAGACAATTTTGTTTGCATCTATCTCTTGGTCTATAGATTAATGGGATCAACACATCAGAATATTTTTCTTGATGAAGTTTTAAGCATCTTTGAGAAGCAATTCTTCGGAAAAGTAGATGTGCTGATAAGATACAATCTGATAGCTTTCATTCAGTTTTGAGATATTTCCATTTTTTTGTGATTGAAAGTGTTTTACAGAATAGGTTTGACTGCACTCTATTATTTTGACGTCGCATTTTTTTCTTAAGCTCTTGCAGTCTAAGGCATTTGGCCTGATAATCAGTCAAGACTTCATCATAATAATTAGCTCGCTCTTTTAACCAGTCATGAGGCATTTCTCTGAAAAATGATAGAAGTTGAACGTTATCTCTACAACAGATTATCTGATATTTTTGCTCTAGTAAGTAGTTGATAAACTTCTCTAGAATATATTTAGATACTATATATGCTTCATCCTAAATGATAACTCATGAGAATTTTTTCTTTCATGCGTTTAGAAGTTTACTCTCCTATATTATTTCATTTAAAGAAGCTATATCAAATTTAAGCTTTTACCTTATGATTATTTTGGAAGTCTTTAGCCAATGCATTCGTATGAGTAAAGACTACCGTGTTTATATCTTTAAAGATTCAGATTATGCATATTATCTTTTTAGAACTACTGTTTCTATTGAGATATGAAACTCAGGATCTTGTAATAGGATCACGAATTGATAGAGCAGTACTCTCAGTAATATTTTGAATCGATTTCTAATGCCTATTTTTTGGTCAGTATACGATATTAGTCAAGCTGAATCTCAAATCTTTTCCTCTTTTAGTGACTCAGACTCTTTGGTAATAACTCTACTGGGTTTGGTATTCTTCTGAGAATTTAAGCGAAAGTATCATTCCCTAAAGCAAATAGTATATACAAATAGCTTATACTCGTTACATGATAAATAGCCTATTATTCTATTTACGTAATGAACCTTCACTTCTTTGGCAAATTCTTTGACTGCTTTTTTTGAATAAAAGACTCCTACTCCACATATTGCACAAGAAGGAATTTTATGCAGACATTGAAACTTATTGGTATCTACTCCTCCCTTGTGATTGAGAAGGCATTTAGCTTGCTTAAAAAGGTAGATACATTTTCAATCTTATATAAGGCCTATCTTCATTTATATATAGAATCTGTTATGATTCTTATCACTTCATTAAAATCAAATCTTCAGAGTATTTCTAGTAAGTTATATGGGCATATACCAGCATTGAGGCCTATAAATACATATATTGAGGCTGGTGATCCTCATAATACGTAAGTATATGTCCAAGTAGACATTTATCACTACCTGCATATGTTCCTCTTTAATAAAATCCTAGATCAAGAAATCAAGCTTACCTTCGTCTATTACAACTCGATAAGTAAGACATTTTTTCATAACTTTACTTCTCTGTATAAATTTTCCTATAATTGCACAACTTATATTCTGATTTTTAGGAAACCATATCTCTATTTACTTAGTAAGAGAAATAATTGCATTCTTAATATTTATACTTTCTAGAATGTCTGCTTCAAAAAAATATTGTAGAAGTATAATAGAGGTCCAGCCTTTTGTTTTTTCACATCTTTTTCCACTCTAACAAGCAAAATGTTTTCCATACTAGACAGGAATTGCTGAATGAATATTAGAGATAAATTTAAAGGATCTTACTTGTGCAAATCCAATTATATCATCTTGTGGTAATTTTTCATTCACTGCTACTCAGACAAGATGGTGTATTAGATAGCCAAATCATTTGAACTATAGTGAACATTCTTCCTAATTACGCATACTTGCTGGATAATGTTTCTTCATGTCTATACATACAACATTTTCAACTTGATAATTAGGCGTATTTTAACATCCTCTATACTCATATTCAACATAAGATTGTTTTATATTTTCATGTATACTAGCTGGAATCAGATACCAATCATTGATTTCATTTGTAAGCTTACCGTTGGCATGATTAGCACTAAATACCTGTTCTGTTAACTCAATTATTTTAAGCAATTCTAGGGATTCCTGCTTTCTTTCCTTATTAATTATTTCTTCTTGAAATTGTCAGTCTACTGTATTCTCAAATAATTCCTTACATGTTTTTATAATATCTGTATGCTTCATTCATGTTCTAAATATACAACTATCTTCTAGAATAAATGATATTGACTGAATCTCTTCCAATATTTCGCTTTCTTCAAGTTCAAGTCTAATAAGTCATATCACTTAGAGATCTTGAAGAGCTTTATTGATAGCCTTTCATGTATTATCGCTATAATACTTTACCATTCAATTTCTTAGAAAATGATGGTTTCTAAGAAATACATAACCATTGTGAACTACTATCTCTATCTCTTCAAACCTATCTGTTTGATATTTTTTACTATTAAAATGATTCTATGAGTAATATCAAACAATTTGATTGGCCTTTTAAGTATTTTTTCAATTCTGCTACATACCCTCTTTTTGCTTTTTCAAAATGCTCTATTACTTATTAGGTCACACAATTAAGTGCATCATCTTTTATTGGCATTAATCATTTATTATCTGGCTTCTGGATTTGATACAACTCATATATAACTGCATTTGGGGCTAAGCTATTAAAATCACCTTACGAGACCCCACCAACTAAAATTGAGATTTTTGATTTATATTATTATATGATATATAAACTTTATTTGGTTAAATTTTTATAGTTGATTATCTTATTAACAAAGCAAGCAATTAGGCCGTCAAAAATTCTCATTTATTTGTGTAACATCAATCAAAAAATCTAAAATTAGATTTTAGAAATGCTTGACATTAAATTTGGAAATGATCGACATTATTTATTATTTAAAAAGTTAAAAAAGTTTCAGATCCTTATAAAATTCAAAATTTTTTAACTTTAATTAAAACCATTATTAATAGTTTGAATGTGTGTTTGAATGAGGGTCTGGGAGGTATTCATATCCCTAGAAAAAAATTTTTTTATTGAAAATTTCCTTTTTTTTTTTTTGATTTTCAATAAAATTAGTGTAACAATGTTCCCGTAGTGTGATTTTAATAGCAAAATCTCAAGTAATACAAAATTGATTTTTAATAAAATTAGTATAATAATGTCCTGTAAGGTGATTTTAATAGCAAAATCTCAAGTGTTACGAAATTGATTTCAAGTTTTACAAAAATTAGTCCTGTAAAATAATTTTAAAAAAAAAACTCTTTCTCCTTTCACCCTGAATTTCTAAAATATTAGAAATTTACTGAGAAAATAAAATTGTTTCGCTTTAAAACTTTTATTTAAAATCTACAACT